AGTGTACAATTGACCATGCACAGAGTAGTCTATCTAATCCAGGAGACCATGGTTACCACATGATTGTAGAATGCCTGAGCGTCCTCAAAAATTACACTTGATCACTTACTGGGAGAGATGACGATCGTTGGAACTATATTCTATTCAGTACCGCCGTATTCGAGGAGACTTGATTTTGGTGTATCAAATGTTGCAGAACCCAAATCATTTATGCCGTTCATTGCTCATTTTGTTGCCAACTATACAACTTGGGGGACATCGATTTAATTTAGTGAGTCCAAATTGCCGGCTATTCCAGCCGGTGTCAATCGTTTTCCAGTTAGAGTATGTATCAGCTTAAATGCCTTTCCATCTTAAGTCGTTTGTGCGCAAGCGAAGACTTGATAAAACTCTGACACATTTCAAATTCCTACACAACTCAAAATACCTGAATAAAATGCAAATTAATTTAAGACCATATTATGTATGTTTTTTTCCTACCCGAACTCTGTGTAATAAACCCAGCATGTAGCCAAGACGTGTTAACGACAAATAAGCTCCCAAGGAGCGAAACCTCCACACCAGGACAGCAGTGCACAGACACAGAGTGGGTTTGTAGCAAATCACCGTTTGGAAAGCAATCCACACAGTGAAGAGTCTACAGACTGAAGCGTTGGCAAACACTGAGTTACACTTATCTTTATCCCAGCAAATTACCATAAACAGTGTGAATCCATCGATGCTTCAAAACACATAAACAGGTGATTGAATCAGTCAACCTGTACCCATGATCACCCGTGATCAATACGCAGAATGGTCATAATTTACTGCAAAATCAACCAACCAAATTGATTGATCGAAATAAATTCGGAGATCTACACGTTTGATGTGACTTGAAAAGGCATAAACTGGAACGCTCGGATTATCTATGTGACAATAAGTAGTGTCCAAGTTTTAACCAATAGACAGTACCAACCAATCGGGTACTTTGAGAGACTAATGTGTGAATCAATCAAGTGAATGACTAGTCTGGATGGGTCATCGAATAGGAAAATTATGCGTTCGAATACAGTCATCAGTAATCGTTTTTTGTTGTCTATCACAAGTTGCTACATAAAGCCTACTGTTTACATATCATTTTAAGGGTTAGATGCTTAGAAAGCCCAACTTTGTGTGGAATGTATCTTTACATCTTCTCTTGAAATTCAAGACAGAACAATTAAGTCGAGAGAGAAGGAAGTAGGTGCATTTTATTTGAGTAAAACTAATTGAACCGTCCAGTGCAAAGAATTGATAGGACCTGTTGTTCAGAAACTACATGAAAATGAGCTGAACCATATAAGTAATATCTCCCGGGGAAAATTCAACAATCGGAGCCATCTAATAAGTGGTACTTATGACAAAAACCAAACCTTCAAAAATGCCAGTTGCTGGAAATATAGATGTCTTCATTATTGTTCCCTTTGACGGAAATAGCTCATAAAAGAGCCTAGAAAGCCTTCTACAGAAAGCCACTGCTAGCGTTTTCGAGTAGTTCATTTTAGAGTTACATTGAAGGCTCAGTACCTCAAACGTTAACCACTCCATTCACATCATTTATTTTCTCTATCCATTTACGCCTACTTTTAGGGCTAGATTATCAGATACAGCAACGGGTCTCCTCCATAGCATAACTACACACTGCCCAGTTGATCCTTGGAAAAGAATCGTGAGGGGCTAGAACACAACGCTCATGCGGTACCTGATCCACATTGCACAATAAATGCCCCAACTCCCTACCCCATCACAAATATCATTCTCAAAATATTTTTCTTTTCTTCGCCTAAGAATTCCAGCAAAGGCATTTGTGAAAAGATCCCGATAGATGCTAAATCAAATATTGCGGTTAAAGAACTCCAGAAATGCTTATTCCTTGACTCAGTGTAAATTTATCTTTCATAGTCATTGATTTCCTGTGCACAATTTGCTATTAACACTCCAGAATATTGCCTCTGTTATTCTGGACACCTAGTTGAACGCTAGATTCCCACTTACTGTGCAATTCAAATGACCGTATTGCTTGCTGTGAGCCAGCTGACTAAGATGTAAGCCACCTATCAGCCACACGGATAATTTTTCGATCTAGTAATGCAGAAATCCTAACATTTTAATAATGAAGTAATGTCGGAAAGTAACTTGTAGCCTAGTCACGTTATTCTTCCAGGTCCTTGAGAATATATCACGAATACCCATGAAATGTAATTAGTGTAAAAAGCTGATCAAGTCACACATTATTGTTTTAAGTGTCTCTTAAGTTAATTCAATCACATGGCTTGTAAGTGATTACCTCAAATTTTTCGTCAAGAATCTTTTTATTTATCATTCACATGCACCCTGAATTGGTGCATGCCTTGAAAACATCGGTATTGCTTATCAGTAGTAGGAAAATCGAAGGATGGTGCTTGATTTTCACGACAAACCCTTACTTCCTGCAGTCAGTTATCAAATGTATATGGTCAATGAAAGTGTAATTAACTCAGCCAAACAAAAGTCAAAGTGCTCTCATACGTTCTTCGTCGTCCGCAGCATATCCTTCTCCTTGGAACAACGGAATGCACCACGCTGATTTATTTGGTATCAGGTCTGAACTACTGTATATGTAATTCAGTAGACCAAATAGACAACGAAATTCTCCGTCTAAAGAGCTCGAGTTGTTATTATGGGTAAAGCTGGAACATTAAATCATCTAGGATCTGAGCACGCTGGACTTGGATGGTAGTACAAATGAGGTGAGAAAATAAAAAATTATCTCGTTCGCTGACGGTTGCAGCTAGGTGTTTCATGCTTCCTTGAGCCTCGACTTGAATAAATCAATGGTTAGAGGACAAACAACTTGGGATCACATATTCGGACGCCGAAGGGGTGACACCTGCATTTCAGCCGACTTTTTCAGAGCATCAGTTCATTAGGATGTCCCCTTAGGTGATCCGTCCTGGATAATATCGGCAGAGCTGTACATAAGTACAGAATATGATGTATGAGGAATATACCTTCGAGAATTCGGCAGAATTGTGAGGAATAAAATCCTAACTATCTATTTTTGTAAACGGAAAGGAATAGCACCAAGTGATAAGCAACTTTAGTCCGAGAGCATAATCAATTTGACCATATAAACCACAGGAAAAAGTATTTACAGGACTCTCATTGATCAGTATGAACGGTACTAAATCTATTATATTCCACCAGATCTTTCACCAGATACTTGTCAAAAGGTGATCAGACCTTCCCCATTCGGGACCGCATAGAGAACCAAACTATTTGATGAGGGTTACCGTAGTAATACAGCAGATGCCTTCCAACTGCTGGTTGTCATAACAATTGAACGCTGTTGACAAAACCACTGTAAAATGTTGGTGCAACAAGTCACAGTGGAGAAATCTTATTTCTAATCCGAAACAGTGTTTACCGGAAATAAAGCGGGGATCTTCAGTTTGGCTAATATTTATTGATCACTTCAAAGCGAGCATAGAATTGATTTATTCGGTAACTTTTTCAATTCCGCTGCAGTTGTCAAACACACATAAGTGATAAGTCAATCAGAATGAAGTGGATCGACCGAAAACAAGATTATCATCTGATTACCTATAATATTTGTTATTCGCATGACTCGGTGTGCTTACTGTTTTCATGTGACATGTGCAAGTCACTTTATTAGGGATAAAGACGTCCCATCACACTTGCTGTATACATCAGTGAGAAATGAATATTGTCACAAAGTAGAGCAGACAATAAACCATACAGGCAAAATAAACACGCGTCCTCGTTGATTGTTTCAGTGGTTAATGCATTGTTGCTTCATTGCCTGGTAATCACTTTGCGTGCCAAATATGGTATCACAGGTTTTCCGTTGCGTGGGCCTGATAAGCCTAGGTCAGTAGTGATGCTTGCAGCTTGTGTCTGGATCCAACCAGTGGACAATCATAAATGGCGGGGTATGTGATTGTTCGGTCGAAGTGCGTTTCACCAAAATGAATTTCAGTTCAGCAAAAAAACAGCCTAGTGAAAAGTAACGCTGTTCTGGTCACTCAGACAAATCGTATCAGCTGGACGCGCCATAAACGTAAATGGTTCTCGTTGTTACCATTTAGTAACTTTTATGTATGAATAATTTATCTTCCTTCATTCGTGTTCTCTCCTAGTAGTGAGCACTTCAAATGTTGGATTATTATGAACGAAGAGTTCCTCATTCGTCTGTAAAATGTTCGAACACTTCATTGAAATTGATCTACTGTTTTGTGTGCAATAACCTCCAATCCAACTTATATTTTTCGAAATTGCATTTTTTCCCCTCGCAGCACTTGCATCGCGTTAGCCCTAATACAATACTTTTCAGCGATTTGTTATTAGGATTTACTTCAAGGCAAGGCTTCGTAGAATCAAAACCACAGGAAACCTTTCTAGCCAACAGCCACTGAGGTGCACCATCTGCGGTTTTCCTACCACGAATTTGATGCCAATCAATTTGTGACAGAATAGTTAATATTCACTTGCAAACTTCATCACATGTTCACATGGATACCCTATCTTGCTATCACCTTCGCCCAATTAGACAGATACGAAAATTATCATTGTATGACATCACTTGGGGTACCCATCGCTGTCCTCGTTTTCTGAAATAAACTGTTCAATCCGCAAGGGAGCTGTGTGCGTATGTGCGTGTGTGTCCAGTGTTGCTTTCGTGCGTACCCGTTTACACACCACGGGTCTGTCTGCCCTTGCTTTGACCGATCATTCGTCGCTAGCGCAGGAAGGAAACTGCCACACATTGGTGTACAGCCCAAATGAACCGATCGATGTGTTCACCTTGAATGAACCAATGACCATTTCGAGGCTTAAAAAGGAAATCATCGCGGGTGCTTAGAAAGGATTCGTAATCTTTGTTGACGCGTTTCTTACAGAAAGCACCCAGGTCACAAGATTTTGGCGAGGATTCCTCGAACAGAAAGAATTTATCAATTGATACTGACGTGCCAGTTGTGAATATGCATAACTGTCTTACTTTAGTGGACTATACCTGGCGTGATGGTGAAGACAGCGGATTGCATTCACCCACGAGTCAGGCGAGACAAGCGGCACTTCGTTGGAGACGTATCACACGTTCTCTAGATGAACAATCTTCAGTTGTCTGCGGACCGGAAACCGAAGGTCCCACCGGATCAGACAACGGACCGTTATTGCGCACAAGGCGCTCGTTTCGAAGTGATCTGAGCATTTCGAATTCGACTGGGCCACCAGCTACCACACGGATTCGTAATAATTCATTACTTCTATTAACCGGTCGTCAACCACCGTTATACGCAACTTCCCGTCGTAAAGCCCGGGGACCGACACGAATTTGGGCACCCGTCGGACATTGTCGATACCTTCTAGATCGAGATCCACGGACTGGGGAGATTCAGTGGAGTCCGGAATCGAATGAACTCGTGTGTAGTCCTCGGTAAGCTTGAAGAGTATTCCTGACCTTTGGATACAAGTGGATGCTTGATGATTGCAAATGCATCAATAAATTTCAGGGAATTTTGATTATTTAAGTTGGTTTGACCAAGCTTGATACTTCAAACCTTGTGCGACATGAAACGCACGGTTTTTTTTAAGGATTACCTGGATACTTGGATGTTAACCCAATTTCGGGTACCTTTAGTATCTTCAGTGACTGAAAATGGTAAAAAACAATCTATCGTTTTAGAATGTTCCTTTATTGATGAATGCATTTTCAAGCATTGTTAGGTCTGTTTTAGGGTGTTCGTGACGGTACTGATGTGGCCCCGACCCAGAAGTCTAATTTTCGAATTTTCTCGTAGCTAAACAATTTTGATGATAATCAACTTTGTTTTCGTTCTGTTTTTTTGAAATTTGAAAACAGATTTAACTGACGAACTTACCAAAGCTTGAGCCAGGAAGTTAATAATACAGTTTGAGGAAGGTAAAACATTAGTTTAGTCTATTCACTATCCAGGCATCTCATTGTAGGACCATAATGCGCCAGCAACTGTTTGGCTAAACGGAAATTAGATGACCATGCACGTGCCGAGGGGGAAGCGGTAGCTATCCAGAGCGTATCGTATTATATTTTTACCCACAAGAAAAATAACGTTGAATAGAATTTTTCAACGGTAAAGTTCCACTGAAAGTTTCACCAGAACCTCATAGTTGTTGGCACAAATTGAAGCTGAGTAATTTGATAAAAAATGTGTTAGATCAAACGTTTTGAGAGTTTTTGAAAATGAACTGATAAAATCAGAGGCGTGTGCGTGGAAATCATATTTCAAAGCGAATAGACTTATTCCGTGAAATGTGTCTAATTCTATCCATTATTTTAATACTATACAGAAAGAGAAACTTAATTATTTGAGTAAAAATTCTATGCAAAGGTAAGTAAACAATCCAAGCCAGACCCTGTTCCAAGTTCGCTCGAAGGATTGATTCACTTACACCCCGGTTTGTCAAGGAGAATCTAAAAAAAACCATTGACTCTGACAAGATTTAAAAGCTTTTACATTGAAATAGATAAAAGAGAACGCTAATCAGCAGGAACACGTTAAACGGTAGAGCTATTTTATTATAATCCAAAATGGATCAGCGGTCCACGTATGATAATCATTAACTAAATTCATGTGATTTTTCAAAGCACAGAGGCATAAACTACTTTCATATGGTCCTAGGTTGTGCAACTTCAAGTGCTTCGACCGTGTATCAATTAGATAATTGAGTGTGCTGTTTCTCTTAGTCTGCTTTTGCATTCTGATATTGAATTTCATCTACCAATGTGTCGACATTCAAACTGTGCATGAAGATCTGACAAAATCTGGGGTATGAACTATGCTTGCATTTACCAGGGTAGACAGTTGAGATGCTGATTGACTCAGTTCATACACCTCTGCGAGTTGGGTAGATGTGAAATAGTCAGTGCCGTTCGTCTGTGTCTTCATAACTCAGCTGATAGATTGCGCACTGTACTAAAGTATCTTCCGGGTGCGGGTTCAAATCTCATTGAGACTACTGATTATTTTACAGTTCGATCATTCGACTATTTATTTGAACTGACCGACCTCCGAACTTCACCTTCACCCAAAATCTTCAGTTCCTCCGGTTAACCATACAAAATCAAAAGCTTTAGACTCTGTTTTTACTCTTAGTCGAGCTCATCAGTAATGCATATCCACCTTCTCGTCTGAACGGTTTGTTTCCCCGTTGAAAATGATGTCACCGTTAAGTGACCTTGGGCTACCAGTTTAATTCAAAATAACACGTTTTGGCAAAAAAGGTTTTCCCCAGTAACTTATGCATTAATGGATATCTTCCAGACGTTTAATTTGCCTTTGTTTGTTTTCCCATATTGCAGAACACTAGCCGAAATTTGTATGTCACGTCTTGTCCGTGACTGGCCTTGTATGTTGCCCCCACGACAACCGACATTACGGAATGTGATCAGTTTCTTGTTCAGTGCTCGCGACTCACCGGTCAGTAGCAGCACTCATAGTGAACCGCATCGACGTGCGGCAAGTGTTGTTCCACAGAGACGCCAGGCAGATTCGGCAACCGGTGTTCCGCGAGATGAGGTGGAGACAAGCAGCACTAGGTGCCCGACCAAACAACGCATGACCTATCACGACCTTCCGACCAGTATTTTGCAAGGTGTGATCAGTGAGGCCATTTTGCAACGAGATTGTGCCGCAATAGCTGGACTGATCGCGAACTGGCCGGACAGTCAGATTGTGGTCCGACGACTAATTCCACCTGAAGAATTTCCCCTCTCATCAAGTTATTTGACCAAGCCATCGTTTGTCTTGGTCAGTCCGGAAACGGAACGTGGAAATCGTACAACTTTGGTCAAAGGTCCCAGTTTGCTAGATGCTTTCATTTTGGGCCTATTAACCAGACAAACGCTTTGCAAACTAACATCCATTGACTTCACCGGTTTTGAGGACGGTAAGTAAAGCACAAAACTATTTATGTGGTATGAATTTCTCTTACAATTATTATTGTAAATGTGTTACAAAATCTTTTTAGAATATCACAGATGTAGTTTACTCACAGTCAATCGGTGAATCAGAAACATTTCACGGTGCTAAAGCTGGAGTTAGAAAGCAACTCGTTTATTTCGGGCTAAAAAAAAGATTTCTTGCTACGTCCCTGTGTCATATATCCACAAGACATTGGCGGATGAGGAGATTCGTTTGTAAAGAATCTCGGTGAGGGTATCGATACACTTCTTATTTGGATTAGTCATAATAATTCCCACAAGCACGGGGTAGAATTTATGGAACGATCCGACGTTAGATCCGCATTTTCTGTAATTACCATTTCGAACACAATAATTTCGCTCGAGAAGGTCCTGTCCGCTGTAAGAAATCGCCAAATGCGCACTTCAAACATACTACTCACAAATGGGAACAGTACCTTACAACACATGTTTGCTTTGGCGCCGGTTGCTCTATGAGGAATTCTTTTATACCTCACTCAAAATGAATGAGATTTATTCTAAGGTGATACGCTTTCCATTCGAATGTTGTCCGAGGCTAGCAGTTGATGAAAATACTATAATAGAAATCATAAAATACGTACCGGATTTAACTGTTTTTCTCTATTGATCATAATCACATGTGTTCTTAACACAAACAAAACGGAGAATAAATTAATGGATCAAATTTTATTGACAGTGGTGCCTTTTAAGTGCAATCTTGTTTGAGCCTATTTCAATTCATCAATCCATGTCCGATGCTTTTGGTTTTCGGTACTCGTAACCATGTAGAGGTGTATTCCGATTGCTGTTTACCGCACAAAATGGTGCGAAATATACAAAATCGGAAGCCCATACCCTCTGTTCAATGTCTTAAATATTGTATTCGCACATCTATTGGAAAAATGGGCTGACAAACCATTTTTAGACAGAAAGATTTAACACATTTCACCAGGTCCTGTGCATTGGCCGTTGACGCAACTCAGATCAAACTGTTAAAATAAATCATTTTGAGAATTGTGAGTAATAGGAGATTTGATTCAATTTCAAAGGTAAAATTCGTCGTGAATATATCAAATGAACCAGTTACGCAAACTAAGGTAATTCCAAACCCCATAGTCATTCCTGTCATCTTTCGTTCATCAATGCGTTTTACCCACTCTACTTTATTGCTCCCCTGTAGTGTTTCCCGGTCTTTTAAAACAAGACTTCAAAACAATTCACCGTGATTTGGTGGTAATCAGTCGTGCATCATCAATCCCAATCGATTTATTTATCACGGAACCTATTGATGGTCACATCAACTCTTGTTTTAAATTTGCTCAAAACATTCCAGATGATCCTCTTCATCCACTACACCCTGATCCATCGTCTTGTCGTTCCCGTCCGTCCATACACTCCTCATTTCGACAGCTACCCTCTCGGATTAACATTTATAAAAATTCCCCTGTACCCTACTTGGCCAAACTGCTTACTAAAAAGAAACAGGTCTCAAATGAACTAAGTCAAAAGTTTTGTGCGCGAAACACACATCACCGACATTCTTTACCTTCCGTTTTTAATATTATTATTTCACTCTGCGTGACGAACAGTGTACATTTTTAGCTGAAATGTAAGTATATATGCTTGCAAAAGTTATAAAAATACAAATATAAAATAGAACTGAAAAGCTAGGAANTCAGCAGTATGAATCCACCGACCTAACTGGGGAACGAACTCGGGACCTCAGAGAAAGAACGCAAGCGGGATACCCACTCGGCCACCTGGCAGCTGATCGGACCGTTTTTCATTTCCATTTACAAAATATAGCTTTGGTGGATACACAAAATGTGTGCAACGCAGGTTGATCCCAGGTGCACGGCGACATATGTTCAGTGCTCACTGTAAGTAGACCTTCATCACATTTTTTCGATCCAACGCTTATTGTTTCTAGCCTCATTTAAAGGATTGAACAATATATTGCACCACATCAGATGCAGTGGGAGATAAAGTTTGGAGTAAATACACTGCTTCCATATCTATCGATATACGCGTAGGATAATGAAAACTGAAGTGTGCTTTCAAAGTGAGAGTCATGTTACCCGATTTCGATCAATGGCTGCACATTCTTTAAGTCAGGAACAGTTTCTGTGATGTGTGATAAACAACCCTGGACAGCCGTTTATAGTATCCCCAGCTTGAAGCGATAAGTAGGTATGTAACAAGTGGGAATTCAATGATGGATTGAAACACACCATTTGACAGTCTTCTTACGAAATTTCTACCACCACAAATTGTTATTTTCACTCCTAAAAGGACTTGTAGTTCCATTTATTAAGGGGTATATGACAAATTATTAACTTGTTCGACCCAATAAATTGCGCTTGCTAATCGATTATCACCGGTAATAATAAGAAGCTATTCAATTAAATACAACCAATAACCGTTTCAATCGAATCGGTTTCGCATTTTTTCGCCAAGTACGTTGCTTTTTGCAGCTCGCTCCCATACAAGACACATGAATGCAACCGGAAGGCGGTATGTGTGTCTGTGTGTTGGTTTTCATGTTCCATATCGGAGCACATCACAGAGCAATCGAGAAAATGCAATGAATTCGATTTTTTGCTATTTCAAAATATTTTAATCTATCATAGAATTTTCTGTCTAAAGAAACTTTCACATCGTTTGAACGCAGCTTGTCGTGAATTGTATCTGTCACGACCAACGGAAAGCCACTCTCTTGCAATGAACCACTTTCTCTTTTTCGAATAACGTGGGTTTTTTATTTCATTTATGGCATCCACTAGATTAAGTAATTACCAAGCACCTGTCACCCAGTTCGCTTAGACAACAGAGTGCTTTTCGTTCGCGAAATCAAGCCTTCTGGTTTGTTCCGACCAAATTTATTTCAGAATAGCAGTCGGCTTTCCAGTTTCAAGTACAAGTACAATGCATGAATCCGGAGGTCCGCAGTTCTTGATTCGTGAATCAGCAACTTCAGTTTTAACAAATACAGAAAGAAGACAAATTTCGCGAGATGTTACCATTTCACTTAATCTTCTCACTTGCTGACTTGAAGCAAACAGACGCATGTTGTTCAAATAGGGCAAAAGAACGTGTACAAGCTTACTCAGATCACTGAATATAGAAGTAGAAGTTCAACTTCACGATAAGTGGATTGATGGTACTAAAAACGTTTGTGGGCATAAATTCGGGTGATGTAACCGAATAGGTAACTCTTCACTAATTTAATACATCCATTTCAGTTTACGAATTTCATAAGAGCACGAATAAGTATCAACAAAGAACCGATTGGATTCAACTGTTTCGTGTTATCTCTCCATCTGTGTGCACAAAATTTCAAAGTGAAATTTCGAATACGACAAGGACAAATCTTTGGGCACCAAAATCCCTCGGTTACACAAAATCGATGAGAAGGTTACTAATTGGTTCACTAATTGACAAAAGTTTAGCATCAAGATTACTTAATAACGGTATGAAAGAAAAATTAGGGCCGATATTGTGTCTTGTTCTCGTGAGATGTTTTGCAACAGATGACCGTGGATTTCCTGTGGTCACTTGATCTTCAGTTATCGATTGCGTCATCGATTTAACCAACCATTTTGGAATACGTTAGCAATCCATTGTGAAATCTGACGATTCGTTCCACTGAAACTGCAGGTGAACTGGTATATGGTATATCAGAAAGAACCAGTTTGACAGCCATATTTACGTTTGTCCAAGGCAATTTCACAACAAGAGGCCACGAGTTGGAGTTGAGCAGCTGAAAATGAACGGTCTATAGAACTGACCTCAACATATGGTCCACATTATTGTAAATGCTATTATATTTGAACTCAAATCTTATGTAGATTGCCTTTTTGTTGACGTTTTCTGTTAGATCACCTTTTGGAAATGGTCTACTGTGAATGTCTATAAACCTTTCCGGGTAACCATCACATTGTAACAGGGTCTATTGAAAAAAACATCTCGATATTTTCTATAAGGAAGTGCAAAAATCCAGATAAAATTAAAAGGGTCAGGTTTTTATTGATATCCGTTGTAAAAATGAATGAAGAACGATTGGCAGTAAAACAAAATGCCCAAATATTGTAAACTTGCACCCAACGTATTGGGCATCGGCCGTCCAGATTCTGGAGTAATGCTTTCGATTGTCTATTGGATAGGCGCGCAGATAAAATCTAAATATGGTACACGAACACAACCAGGACCCCGAAGCAATTTGGTCAACTCTGTTGGCCATCAGAATCAGGATGTCATTTGAACTCTGTACGCCTTGGAACAAAACCCATAATATGAGTACACATTTTATTCATGACGTTTGTTAAACCATTCCTTACAAAGGCGTCTAATGTTGATAAAACACCCCCAAAGTGAAGACGGGCTTTGTCATTGTAACGGTGTGAAAACTGATTATAAATGTATCCTTATGGCAATAGTAAATAAATCAAACTTATCATATTCACAAAATTAGGCAATCCCGTATCAACGAAAGGTAAACGAATCATTTTCAACAGCATCAAGTAATTTTAAAGCATGGGAGTTGGACATTGTTACAACTCACTAACGCAACACAGAGGGGAAATCGTACATCGAACAACAGCGGCAGTTCCATTGAGCCTTAAATTTCATACCAGACAATGGGAATGAGTCACATCAACAACTGACTCTGAGATCCGGAAAAGTGGTTAATTCACACCAAATAAATGCAAACTGACTTCAGCAAACCGAGTAGCTCGATTTCAGTAAGACGGATGAGTTTCGTCCATGAAGTCATAGTGGACTCAAGAACATTATTGGTTGCAATAGTGATACCTAACAATGAGAACAACGAAAATACTACAAAAAGCTGGCGGAAGCTTTATGGTTATTGGTTTGAATTGTTAATTTTCTGTCCTGTACCGTTGGTTAACATTTTGTCATCCACTACAGTGCTAATACACACACATATATACCTATATGTAATGAA